CACACCTTGGGGTAAGTACGTTGGTGCAAAGGTGGAAAATGACCTGCTTCTCATTCCTTCTTTTTACTTACATAATCATTTGCTTCTTCTTCTTGATCTGTCTCATCCTGATTGATGCATAAGTGCTCTTATTTTGCATCATGCAACAGACAACATCAGCTTATCCACAGCATTCTAAAATAAATAATTGATTTTGACTAACGGTCTTTTGTTTTTACTCTATCTTCTCTTCGTCTCGTATGAATAATAGCAAGTCGACTTACTGTAAAAGAGGGAGCACTGCTCTTATTCCTTTCCTAAATTCTTTGTTAGACAATCACAAACTGTGTTGGTTTAAGAACAAGATCAAAGAGACACAAGCTCTTAAATCAACTGGCCTAATTCCCATCGAACCACGTAAACAACGTACGCAACCTGATTAGTATTCAAACATCTTCAGTTATGAGCATGTTTCCAAAGTGGTTCGGGCTTATGGGAGCCCTCAAGTAGCGGTATCAGAAGTGTTGCCGGCGTAGAACTCGTAATTATGAAAGATAATATAATCAGCAAAATACAAATATTGCAAAAACATATGCGTGTATAATATGCTTCTTTGAGCAAGTGATGACAATTGTACGGAGGTGTAAGGCGAAAATAGGCCTTCAAATAGACTGAAATACGCAGATAGAGGTTTGCATAGTCTCTATATAATTAAGCTAATCAATGCCTCCAATTTTTGAATTTAGTAGTATTTAACAGTCATCTGAGAGTAAATTTGTACACGTGAGGGTGCCAACTTTTTCCTTAAGTTAAAAAAACCCTAAAAGAAATTGGTCGGTAAGCAAGTTGGTATTGAACTACAAAACAAAGGTTCTTAATGAAGGTGCGAAATTTGAGTTTGATCAATTTGAGTAACTTGCAATCGCTTCTTAGCTGGGCCTTCATAATGACTAGCATTTCCAGTTGGTCAGTTGGTAAATTTAAGAGAACCTGACTTAACCAAATGTAGTCTTTAGCCAATGATAGGCGATCTCGCAATTCGACTAATTAAATGAGGCAATTTTCTAAGAAAGCCGTTCAGCTGGGCCCGAACTTCTTAAAATAGTGCCGCAAATGCCAAGCTTTCAAAATATTGCACTTATGAACCACGGCCATGAGGAACTATTCACCTGTGCTATCATTTGCCTGATCCCTATGGCTTAAAAAGAAACAGAAGGTTAACTGTCTTTGGTCAACCGCTACTCATCTTTTTTGATACGTTATTAAATAGTTGTTTAAATACACTTGAGAATTGGAGCAGATGAGGTGGATTTCAAGAACTTTGATAATGATTGCTATCTCGAATGGTTGTGATTATTGGAAGAATTGCATACCAATTCTTGTGAGAAGATGCAACTGTTGAACTAGATGTGCATAAAGGGCTTTAATTTTCCAGTGCACTTTCATCTTTACTTAGTGATGAAAACAATAGCCTTGAAGCATTTGCAGGGTAACCATCTTTCCCCACATTGATTTGTTTACTTTTCCTTTAATAAGCTTCACTTTGCTTCAGTAAATTCTTCATGCTGGCGCTACTTGAAGAACCC